TATTTGGATGTACCTACATATTGCAAGGGGGGATCCAGGGGGAGTACTGGAGGCAAGTGCCCCTCCCCCCGCTCAAGGAAAAAATATAATATAATATTTAACGAATTATTAAAATTCAACATTGTAAAAATATTTTCAATTTAAATTCCTCCTCAGTACACAAATTCTCGATCTCTACTGTTTGTATTCGGGCGTTGACCAACGCCTCGAAAGAATACAAATTGTGATAGCCGTTAACTCGCAAAAACATTAGAAGCTCGAAATAGTTAGGAAATGAGTAAAATCTCACTGTGATAGGGCGACGATGTAGATTAATGTCAAAATATAATACGATGCAGAAAATTATATCCAAACATAATGAGTAAAGCTGGAATTTTAAACCCTTAATACCCAAAATTCCTTAAAAAATTGTTTAAAGTTAAAAATAATGTACTTACACGTTTGGCTATACCCTTGTGAACATTGGTGGATTTACACACAGGGTAACGTGGGTCAACTGCCCCAGGGTGCCAAATCTAAGAGGGCGCCTAACGTACCAATGGGTCGACTCTATTTTCAAACAAAATTTAAGTGTAGACTGAAGTATGTAGCTGATATAAAAAAAGTGTTAAGTTTAACGTTGGGTGGTAGGCGGTAGCAAAATAATTGATAAGATAATCACAAGATAATTAAAATAGATTATGTGTCAGGGACGGATCTGGGGAGGGGGCCTAGGGGGCCAGCCCCCCTCCCAGACATATCATTTCTCAATTTTTTTAATTATTCTACAGATCCCAATATTACATCCATATTTCAAATTACATGTAACTATCTATGTCTGATAATATAACATATTATTATAGGTACGTATCATTTTGGGGTGCACAAACTAAGATAGTACTATCTTAGTTCCTGGTGGACAGTGATTCCAATATTGTAATTTTACATTGACAAAAAATTGTGGGCTCCCCCCCTCAGATCTTTGCTCTGGATCCGTACCTGTTATGTGTACATCGTACATATGTAGATAGCATGAATCATATACCACATTGGAAATATACTTGTGTGTAAAGGGTATTTGTAAAGCGTGATACTGAACAACTCATTGGTCCGATAGATATGATGTGTTTCACCCTTTTAAAAAATTGGGTTTCTGTTATTACATCTCTTATCAAAATAAGAGATTCTACACCTGAAAAAGCTATAACCAAAAATGAAACAAAAGGAATTTTTTTGAATTTAAATTAATTGGAAACTGCAATTTTAGTTTAATTCAAGGGTGATGTACTTGAACGATTTAACCTTATGAACAAGAAACTTCAATCCATTACAATTTACAATAGATTTAATAACCATATCAAATTTACATAGTCTTTTGATTAATTATATCAAACAGTTGAAAAGTCAAGTACCTATGTTTAAAAAATATGAAAAAAAACATTAGGTAGTTGTTATTATCAAATGTCAAGGAGTATCATGAAGATAGAAAAAACAAAACAAAACTTGCTCATGACGAAACAAAAAAAATTAAATAGTTCAAGATTCCAGATCTAAATTTCGAGTGAATACCTACTTATACATCCGAATTAGAGAGAAGGTAAATTGCATAAGATAAAATAAAATATAAATAATAATTTTGGATTTTTATTTAATTTAACTAAATCGAATTCTGGTGAATTGATCAATTGTCCTAATCCGTTACAAAGAAAGTATAAAAATGACACTTACCTAGTTCGTTTTTGAATGAATTTCTTCGTTTCAAAGGATATTATTTTAATATCAAAATCGAAAACTGAACCCATAACTATAATTGAAATGCAACGATTTATTATTGAAAATAAAGTTCAAGAGGTTTTTCCATACATAAAAATTGAAACCATGTTCTTAAGTATTCCAGCAAGTAATTGTTCTGCAGAAAGGTCATTTTTTCATTAAAACGCATTTAGAACTTTTTAAGATCTAAATTAAATGTAGCTAAATGATTACGCCATATTACATATTGAAGCAGTATTAACTGACACGTGTTAGTTAAAACCATCGAATTTAATGAAGTGATAGACAAGTTTGCTTCAACAAAAGCCAGAAAATGCATCTAGTTTAAGGTTATTTGTGTATAGGAAATATTTGTGTGTATATAAATATATAAATGTATACATGTATAATGTTTCTAAAAAAAAAACTGCCTCGTGGCGAAAAACTGCTTAATCCTCCAATGCCTGTGAACTTGGCGCTGCATGGCGTGAACTTGGCAGCGCAAAATTGAAAATTGGCCCCCCGGAGAAAATAATGTCTAACAAATTTTGAAATTTGTCCAACAATCCACCGACAACTTTGTTTGATTGGATCGATGTCTGCTAATGTTGTGCTGCCAAGTTCACAGGGGTTATCTTGGAGTACCGCTTTACATGCTACATTGCGACTGAAGTTTGCGCTCTACCGTTTTTGCCACTCACTGCATCGCCAGAAATATGTAAAATTTAAATAATACCGTATTCGAAGTGGGTGATGTAAAAATGGTTTAAATGACGAATTAAATAATATTCGAGGTTTAGTACACGATTATAAAAATGTTTTATAAATAGGTACCTAATAGGTGTAATAGGTGTATAATTATTAAAACATTATAAAATAGGTAATAAGTACGAGGTACCTACATATCTATTTTATATAGATATGTAGGTATATTTTATATTATCTATTTTTTCATTTACATCATGTAAGCTTTTAAATATTGTTCTTTTAAAATATAATTAATAATCAGACTAAAATAAAAAATACCTACATGTGCAACGCCCCTCAAAAAGATGTTAAATGTAGTTCTTATTGATTCCTTTCTACAACTGTTCAATAAGATTAAGATATTACATAAAATAGCTTTTTATTATATTTGTAAATATATAAAATTACATAGTCACATAATATTATACTTTAAAACTTCAAAGCATATTATCAGGAGTTGTAGCACAATTAATTTTTTTTAATGTTAGCCTCAGAACTCTTGTCCTTCACTAACTTTCTATGCTTTGAGTGGGTATGTGCATCAAATACTAATAATACCATCATTGTAATCGAGTGGTAGAGCGCATATTACAAGATAGAAAAATTATTTTTATTTTTAAAAATATTTGTATAAACAAGGGCGGATCCAGAATCTGTATACGAGAGGATGGGAGCACTTAAATTAAAAATTGTATGATGCTGATTTTTAACTATAAATGAAAAATTATATTATAATTTTTCTGTGAACTGGAGTTCAGTGTTCCTTGAGTGCTCTACTTTAGGAATATATTTTAAAGAATTATAGAAAGTTTTAGAAACATAACTGGTCGTTTTGGACTTCATTAATCTGGAAAATAATTATTTGGATTCGACGTCAAACATTTTACTTTTGGTATTTTTCATCATTCAATTAAAATAATAAGGTAAAAAAGTATAGCAAATAAATTCATACATGTAATGACAGTAAACTCGTACTGAACAATATTGATATATTATCGGCGGACAACAATTTTATTGGTGTAACAGATTAGACGACCGTTAGGTACCTACTCGTTATCTGGGGCTTAACATTCACTATTCACATTTTAAATTATAATTGTTCGATAATATAATACGAGAACCTACCTACTTGTTAATTTGTTAATTTATATAAAAATCCTTTAATATAATTTCAAATTTTGGGATAAAAAACTCCAAAAATTATCTACAAAATTAAAACTTTTTATTCTAATTGCACGAAACGTAGTAACATCGAGTAGCTTCGGAAAGCAATGCAAAGTACCTACATGGAAATATCAAATATGAACCTTAATTATAACTATTGTATTATCTGTAACCAATTTAGGAACCTTATATATAAATGAAAAAATATTCGATTTTCGAGAGCCAAAACAAAATGTATGAGTGAACAACGGGTTGATAAACTAAACTACAAAGTCACAAAGAATCAATTGATATAACTTATTGAAAATAGTCCAGTAGTTTTTGAGTTTATAGAGGATGAACAAACAATTATGCATCTATTTTAATACACTAGATACATTTTCATAACAAAATATATGAACAAAAAGTAAGCTTTATTAACTAAACTAAGATGTATGATTATTGTTTAATTTAAAGATATAAAAATCTAATCATTTTAACAGATATTGATAATTTAACATACCTGTTTTAGTTATTAGACTTTAAATAATTAATGACAAAATGTGTAGTGATAATATTCCTAGTCTAGGTATAGGATGGAATATGCTATGGTATATAGTACATACCCATATAGGCTTTAAATTAAATTAAAAATAGCAAACAAAATTTTAAAATATTTTTAGTTGTATGAATATTTTATGGATTAATTTTTTTTTTTAGATAACTCAATGACCTTAACTTAATTAGTAGCTATTGGTTAATTATTTAACCAGATTGATGCATTTGGGAAGGAAAATATTATATTGTAATAATTTAAAAATCTATTTTTTCATGATTAAAATATTTTTTTATTATCATTATTATGATCAAGATAATATAGTTATACTATATCATCACGATAATATAAGTATTTATAACTTACACATAATATTAAGATCAAAATGTTTTACTATTGATCAACTATAATGATTTAAATATTTGCTTACAAATAAATAAATAAAACGCCCAACATTTGCCTAAATAATATAAAGACATACAAACTAATCTAAAAAGTATGGAAATTTTATAATGTAAAACCAAAGCCAACGTTAATGATTGGCAAATTGCTAATATATTATCATTATATTAAATATACTGAGACAAATCACAAAATATAACAATAAAAGGCTATGATTAATACATTACATAATATTTAGCATAATATTATTTATAATAACTACTAACTTCATAGATAACAACTATTTTACAAAACATTAAAATTGAATAAAGAAATTCAATACATAATTACAATTCATAAAAATTATTTTTATTAAAAATCCACATTTAGGTGTAATTTGGGCGTATTAGAAAGTATACCTATATAAGGAACAAAACCGTTCTATTGTAAAAAAAAAACCGTTTTATTAAAAAATAACTGACATAAAATATCACAATATGTATTTAAAATCCAAACATTTACATCACCTTTCAATGGCATAAATAAGAATTATTTTCACTATGAGCTAATTAAATGTTAGGGGCTGGGGTACTATGATTTACAGAATATGTTTTAACTTTTAATTGAACTTGAAATTGCACTGTGGAGCATGACCCAGGGGCTCCTTCCTATACACATCACTATCACATTGTAGATAATATGATAGAATTGCTCTATGGATTGAAGGATTTAAACTCAAAGTTATTAAATAAAAGACCTTAATAAATATAAATCCAATAATTTAAAAGATCAAACAATTCATTAACTACAAATTAGTTAAATAATTGTTTTTATAATAATAATAAAATATTATAAACAAAAATATGATACCTTTAACAGTTTCTTGATCCTTCACTAAAGTACATGTATATTTTTCAATTATAAATGGTAGAAACTGGCAAAAACTTAAGAATTACACTATGAATATGTAGAAGATAAAATCAAGTTAAATGTTAAAATTATTCTCATCTTATTTCTCATTTTTAGATGGACAAAAGACACAACTGATTAGGTATAATCAATGTTGTTTCAATATTTATTTTTCTTTATACTATAATATCTCACAACTCTAGGAGTTATACAAGCTCTAGCAGCTATTATGTTCAATCGAAAGAATATTTATATGGCTATTGAATTATAAATTCATATATAACAAAACAATAATTTACCAAAGAACGTCATGGATAATTGTAAGATAATTTACAACTTAAATCATTTCCTATACACTTTTTTTTAGAAGTTAAAAAAGCAGATATAGAAATAAGTTAATATCAAGAATTTATATAATAAAACTAAAGATTATCGGTATATTTAATTAATAATTTAGTATATTTTCATCTTTATTTAAGAAAATGCATTTAGTTTAATTGTATTTATAGCTAGACGAATTGAATCAGAATAATGAAGCAGGATCTGTTATAACAAAAAATAGTATAATAAACAAAAATGTTTTCTATTTCAAGAAATAATTTCAGATTAATTTAAATTTTTTATTAAATTCATTGTTTTTTTTTGTGTTAAAAAATAAATTTTATATCCAGTTTATTATAAAATATTGATCATGTCCCCAATTGTGGATAAAAATTAATGAGTACACTTTTTTCTCCGATTATTACAGTATAAAATATAAATTGGGAAGGGATCGGAATGTAATAATAAATAAGCCTTAATATTGTTTTTTTATATCCTTATAAGTAGTCACATTTTTGTTGACTAACTGAGTAAAAAATTATTTATACTTAAAACCAGTTGTCATATTGGTAGTAATAATCAAATTCATTACATCCGACAACATGCATTCGTTTTCTTAGCAGTTTTATAAAATGCTTTGGACTGCATACTTAAGCCTTCGGATTTGGCAACCAGGTCATCAAGTTTTTCACCACGTTCCAAAACGGCTTCAATTGTACTATGCTGAAATATAGTTTTAGACTTTAGTAATTATTATATAATATTAAAATGTTCATTATTATGATTTTGATTTAAAAAAAAATTTTTTTAGATTTTGTTAGGCATAATATTACTAGTATCGACAAATTAATAAAATGAAGTTCATAAAAAAAAATATCAAATAACTAATTTAGTTCGGGAGATTGATTATATGGACTATGAAACATTGAAAAAGACATTAACCCGACAATATATATTAAATTATTAGTCGCATCACAGTCTTATTGACAACGTTGTATTTTTCAAGAATAAAAATCATTGTTTCATACTTTTAATAATTTCATTAAAACCAATAATTATTTAATACAAATTTTGGTTCAAAAAAAATTAAAAACTGTAACAAAAAGTTGCAATTGATTTTAATTAAATTTATTTAGAATATTATTTTATTATTTTTAATTGTATTTGTAAAAAAATTATATTATATATTGAGTATCAATGACTAAAATGTATAGTATTTTGGTATATATGTTTTATTCAAGAATTTAAAAAGTATTGTTTTTACTATACATTAAATAATGAGTTTAAAAAATTAACTATTAAATAAAATCATAAAGTGTAAACATTCAATTTATCAAAATTATTTTTATTTACATTATTCAAAATAATGTGAGAAATGTCACAGATTATTAAGGATGGTGCAAAGGACAAAATCATTCAGAAATAATTTATAGAACTGAAAAGTAAGAAGGAATACTTTTTCTATACAGTTTTAGTTTGAAGCAAAGGTATGATAGATTTTTATTTTTATTAATTAGGAAGATGTTATTTAGCATCGGAAATTATGTAGAAAACACTGCATTTGTCTTATTCAATAAAAGGTAGTTGTAATGATAAAAAATTATCAACTAAATAATTAAATTCTATTTTTTTTATCTATACTTAAAACTATTGAAAATGTTAAGTTTAGTAGTAAGTATTAAAAATAAAAGATTACCAAAATTATTTTTGTGTCATCTAGATCTTGTTGAATTTTTGTCATAGCATCAGCCTCTTTGGGATTTTGATACTTGGCTAACATAGCATTCAGTTCATTGAATGTAACCTGTGTTTCATTAAGTTTTGGCCAACTATGAGATGGAACTTTTGCAGAAAATTCATCTAATGCCTAAATTAAAAAAACATTTATATTTAATTAGGAAGATAATAAGTTAAATATAGACATCAAGGCAATAGTGACACATTTTCATCTTATAGAACTGTTAGAACGTACTGTATTATTCACAAGCAACTAGTGTTCACTTCAGATGAAGTAAATTTAAGTAAAAACTAATAAACAACTTCAAATTATTATAACTCAAAAATATTACATAATTATTCAATAATCTCAATCATAGTTTTTCAATTAGAAATATTGAGTAAATAATGGTAAACTGAATTTATTTGCTTATTTATTGATAATATTAATGACAATTTTGTTTTATGTATACCTCCATTCATATAACTTAACGTTAAAAGAGAAGTAAAAAATTAAGAGTACATAATTGAAATATGTTTTTACATAAGGATCATATTATGTAGTTTCCTATATTTTTATACTTAAAAGACTGTAGGTGATAAGTTATAGTTATGATCACAATTTACAACAAATTAAATTTTGTTCAGTTACGTGCATAAAAGGTTGGGAGACTTCCATAACTTTTGATCAGCTTATACTTTATTATAATATATAATACAATATTATAGGATTTCAACCACCAATAAAAAGTGATGAAAGACTCTTACTATTTTCCTAATATTGCATTTGAGTTTCACCATGTTGTCACAATAACCATTTATTTTGTCATGAGTTTACCTTTGTTAGAAGTGTATGAGCAACTCTATGAGGATATTCATCATCGGATATTAGAACACCAGCCAAATTATCCGCCCGTACATAAACATGACACATATACTCTAAAAATTAATAAACACAAATAATCTATATAATTTTGTTAGTAGGATTTACAGATTCAAACCTTTTTCCTTTACAGATTGCCTTGCAGCACTCGCTGTACGTTCCACTATGGTTTTAGTTACAAATCCCATGAATTCCTGCACACTTTTACGTTGAAAGTAACCAAATGACTGCAGTTCAAATGCAGATTTCAATAGCGTTGAATCATTAGATCCTTTGTACAATACACTCATAGCAAACAATTTCACCATATTGGTGTCTGTTAGAAAAAAGTCATACAATGAAAATGTTTTTTGATACATCAAAAAGTTAAATATAAAATGTATATTGTGGATTATGTAATAAGTAAGAATAATATTTAAAAAGATAAATAAATTCCTTAAAACAATATCAATTACTTGTTTTGTTTAAAGTTGATTGAAATCAAAAGTCGTAGAATGCAGTCTAAATATTATTTAATATCTTAATATCTTATGGTAGTGTTAAAAAAATCAAAACGTAATACCACAGGACAATATTGAAAACGATAATAATTAATTATATCAAATTTTTTTTAACAATCAGATAATATTACAATGGGTCAATAAAACTTTTGTTGATAACGAATGAATGAAATCTGGAGAATTTAGGCTTCAACGTAAAAAAGTGAAAATATGTGAATGTACTATTATAGACAGGAATGCAGGATGCTACATATTATTTGGAGATTTGAAGTTATTTTACATGATAACAAGGACACAATAATAATAATTGACTATCAACAGTTTATTCACGAGAGGGGATTTTATTCGCAGTGCATCCAACCAATGCGACCATCGAATACATAATATAATATTATATTTACACCTTGTGCAGTTGTGCCTTCGTCATAATATTCTTCGACCAATATAACTAAGTTATATGGTCGAAAATAATATTAATTATGAATTATTGTTAATTTTTATAATGTTATCATTAAATATAATATAATATTAGATACATTATACTATACTCCACATTATATAGTACCCATAAATTATAATAATGTACTCAATATTATTATTAAAGTGATATAGGTATTTTTGAGAATATATTACCTACCTAAGGCCTAACTACCTAAGAAAATTATTACTAAAATTGTTTATCATTTATTTTTTTTTTAAATTCGAAGTTACGATTATCCCAATCAAATTTGTATGTAATAATTATAAATTTATTACAATAATTTATTTAGCAAAACAATACATCTTAACTGAAACATGGCATAGTGTGGAGACCTGCATGTTAAGTATTGTATTTACTATTGTAAGTTATAGTACATATTTTTCATCAACCAAACAAAACCAAATTGATATAATGTAATAATTTTTGTGGCTTAATGGCAAATTTATATGAATTTGGCTCTGTTGATCTTGATCTTAAAACTGCCACTATGTACCTATAAATAACATACCTTTGGTAATTTACTGCGTTATTATGGAACACCTACAAGTAACACTCGCGGCTTTATGGTAAACTTACGTAATATTTTTGATATAGACAATTCAGATAAGGGGTACTCATTAATTTTAGATATGAACATAAATATTATAGGGAATACAACTAATGATTAGGTATATCTAGACATGTTAGCCGAACATGGGTTTAAATCATATTATATATAACATAAATATATAAACTAAATTGACTCCAACAGGCAATTACTCGTGTTTGAATCATATTTTTATCAAAACTCAAAAATCGAATTTAAATCTAATTGAAGAGGGTGTTATACAATCACACATCACATACCATTTATCTATATTTGGTACATTACCAATAGCAAGGCAATTATGATGATACAATTATAAAAAATAGTATTAACTAGCTGTGACCTCTTATATAGTTTTTTAAGTCAACAAAATTGGCCTGATTTTAATTGTACATCTAATATTAATGAATTATATTGTATATCTTATTCAAAGTTACTATAGTATATTGAAAATGCCAGCTATGAAATTAAGATTCATTTTTAAAAAAAACATCAACGAATGGATGACAAATGGATTGTTAATTTCGCCAAGTCATAAAAATGATATTTCTAAAATGGTCAAAAAACCATCCTAACAATTTAAATTTGAGTGCTTATTACATTAAATATTGAAATAAATTTACTTCAATTCTATAAGAGCTAAGAAAATAAATATTTACAAGTTAAAATTCTATAGAACAGTTACTCATCCTAAGCTTACTTGAAATTAATAAACAATTTAACAGGAGCGAAAATAACATAAACAATGAGATATTCAAAACTAACAGTCAATTAATTAACCCCCAAAAATATCCTTAGAACACAGCAAGTATTTTTAATTCATTTGTCATCAGTGTTGGGAAAGACCTAGCAACTAAATTCAAAAACAGTTTGCATAACTATATGATGACAAAGAATCATTTTTTTCTTTTAATCAGAAAATAGAAAAAACTGAGGTCCTAAAAAATCATAAATAATTTCAAAGGTAATACTGCAGTCGAATTTCATAAAATATTAGTTAAACTTTTAAAGCATACAGCTCTTTGTATTGTATACCCTCTTATCTATAAGCTAAATGTATGCCTATAGAACAGGGCGTTTTTCCGGATGAATTTAAACTCGCGATTGTCAAACCACTCTATAAACAGGTAGGTAGGTAATTAAAAATTTGACGAACTATAGACCGATATCTATGCTTTGCAACTTCTCAACAATTTTCGAAAAATGAATTAAAGTCAGACTTACTTATCTTTTCTAGAAACTAATGAATTAGATACTATCAAAAAATCAATTTAGTTTTTGACTGGGTAGAACTGTAGAAGTATTATGACTGGAGTGCTCTTTGCGGCGATCAATTTTTTATAAAAAGAATTAGACAGTAATAAAAAAGTAATTGCAGTTTTCTTAGATCTAGCAAAAGCGTTTAACACGGTTAATCACGATAAACTTCTGAAAATGTTGCCTAGTTTTGGAATATCAAATGAAAGGTGATTCAAAAGCTATCTATAATTAACAGAAAACAAGTAGTGTAGATAAATGGAGTAGGACCTTAAATAATTCTATTCATTTTATACATAAATATAACATCAGCAATTTAGGTATAGATGTTCAAATTATAACATAATTATTATGTAGATAACATCACCTGCCTTCTTTTTTTATGGAAGCACATGGGAAGAGGTTCATCTCAAAACCACCTCTGGAGTAAATTTTTAAAGAACTAAATAATAATAAGCTGATTTTAAATATAGGGAAAAGTATTTTTATTGCTTTCTCTATTTATATTACGTACATACCGTTTGATGATATTTTTTTTCACTCTTGTAATAATCGATATATAAATTTTAAATTATTATGTCGGTAACTGCCAAAAAATAAGCAGGGTAACGATTGTAAAATATTAAAGTCTTATTATTTACTAAAAATCTTTGGTGGAAAATTCATATCGAAAACGTGGTTATGAGATTAAGATCTGTTATTTGCAAACTTTTCAAACTAAATAAACTCTTACCTACTGAAACTTTGAACATTGTATATAACGCACTGAACAAGTCGACATTCCAGTATATTGGTATATTATATTTGTTATACATACGGTATATTAATTATTATTAGTATAGGGTGGATGTTCTGATAATGCATAAAACCACTTGAAATTCAACAAAATCATGCAATGAGAATATGCCCAGGAAAAAAGGACTTCCATGATGGCTCGACTTCCACAAATTATAAACAATTTGGAGTTCTACCTGCCAGATATTTATACAAGCAGTTCTCCGTTATATTTATAACTGGTAAAATTACTACTAAAAAAGTTAATAAACGGGAAATTCGGCCATATTATGTCATACATGATACATGTTAGTTTAGTTACACAAAAAAGAATATACCTATAAGAAATAAGTTAGTAGATTATTTAGGTCCAATAAATTTTAATGCTATAATGGCGCTATGCCACTCTATATAAAAACAAATATTTTTGATAATGTTAATAAGAATAATTATGAATTTAAGAAAACATCTATTGTAATAAGGTTCTTACTTGAGCTATAATTGTATACCTTTTAGGAAATAAATATCTTAAATATTATAATTTAAAATATTATGTAGGTTTTTAATGTATTCTAATAAGTAATAACTAATAAGTAATAACTCATTTACCTCACCACAAACTCTACTTAATGGGGTTTATTAAATAAAAATAATACTTTGAATTACTATTATTTGTTCAATAAAAAAAAAAATACACAATAATTACCCACTGCTTATTACAAGAATAAGCAAAATACATGTTTGTAACTCCCCTTTAAGCATAATGCTTGTTTTATGGGGTAAATAAGTTTGAGTTCAAAACAATATGAAAATAAAGATAATCTAAACAATTTTTAATTTTATATATAAACAAATTATTGTCCCAAAATTTGGAGAACTTATACAAACTTGGTAGAATTTGATCACTCCCACTCAAATCTTGTTTGACAATCCTTTGTGGGATGGGATATGACCCCAAAATAAAGTGAATAATTACCGACTGTCATCTGGATTCTGGATTCAAAAGGTATCCTTGTATAAAATTCTGCACGTCAACGTTTTTCTGTACTCACAAGTACGTTGACTCACAGACCATAGTACATTTTTTATCAGTTGGCGCTGGCACTTTAATCTCACAAATTTGGATAGCCATAATATGATTCTGTTGGTTAAAAAGTGCTCTGCCCAAGTATTTGGAAATCACCAACCTAATATGAACGTAAGTGATTGCCCATTTACCTTTGGCATATTTGTATGAGAAATAAAATATAAAAAAAATTTGATTAAAGTATAATGATTGTGTGACATAAACGTAACACGCTTCTAGATATTTTACATTTCGGAGAAAATGTATGAATCATGCATACATAATATGCATTTGTATATATAGTGGGAATTAGGTAATTTTACATTTTATTCGTTTCTACGGAAACCAACAAAGCGTTACGCAAATTTTTTTAGAAAATAAAAATATCTATACAGCCCAAAAACATACTTATGTTACAATAGCAGAAGTTATTTTGCTGTATATAAAAATATAAAAAGATAAGACTTTATTTTAAATCGGTGGATAGTATTTAAAAATAAGTAACATTTTTTTCTTACGGGTGCCGATCCCTAGCAGAAATAAACAAGTAGGAGGTGATGATGTGAATGCCAACACAAAATAACCGATTTAATTTAGTATCTTAACCTTTTTTGGATCGTTAAAATCATTAGATTTTTTTTCAACTCCAAAAGCCTTAGTTATTTTATTATATTATAATATTTATTTTTCTGTTAAAGCCTTGTCTCATATATCTTTCATGTGTTCAATCACTAGGATTTATCTTATTTTTTTTAACTAACTAATATGTTTAGTAATATTGATAGGAATTTGGTTTTATATGGTAAGTACCTAGTCTTAATGTTAGTTTAAAAATAAACAATTGTACCAATTTTCAAGTCTAAACTGTATATAAATATAATGCTGAAAACAAATTTATGAATACATTTCAATAGTAAACACATTTTTAAGTGTTCAACCATTGGTCTGTTCATCCTACCAAATAGTTTGTACATTTACTGGCGTTTCTCTTTTTTTTTTTAATTTTTAGGACTTTCATTAGTAAATATTTACCTAGGATTTGGCGATGGCGTCTTAGCCCATAAGATCACATAAGGGTGGACGTGATCAACCAGATTCAATATATGTTTCC